TTCACTCCCCCCACCTACAATCCCTGCTGGTACGAGACTCGAACCCACAACCTTTGGGTTACAAGTCCGATATATCCGTTATACTTCCAATGGTATTCTGCATAATGTTACAAAAGATTTTTATTTCAGATAAATTCTAATCTTTGAATCTTTCTATTCATCAAATAATCCTGAAAAAGTTACTAAACCGTTGTAAACCTTGATAATAATAATAATAAAATGTTTCTTGAACAGCAAATCAGCATTGAATAATGATTTCTGAAGGACTATGTGACACTGAAGACTGGAGGTAATCATGCTGAAATTTTAACTTTGGTCACAGGAATAAGTTAAATTTTAAAATATATTCAGATAGAATCTAATGGGCACAGCTAGGCAAGTCCCACCAAATAAAAATTTCATCTCTGGACTTTTTCTTTTGAATGGTGTGCATGTAATCTATTCAACCATTAAACAGCCTGAACTGTCCCAAGGGGTCAGTGGTTTCTAAATGCAGGCCTGTGTATAACTGCCATTTTTCATAGAAGCTGTATATACGTGAATGTTATTTCTTTGCAAATGAGATTTTCATTGCATTGCTCTGTGTGATCTTAAAGCCTTGCAAAGCTTCTCTGGCTGCACCCGCCTGCACCTCATTATCAAACTCCACAAAGGCGATGTCGTGACGACCTGGGACAAGACGGACTTCTTTGAACCCAGGAAACCTATGAGAAGAAAGTGGCATTGTAATTAGCAAAAGATGATAAAATATTTTTAAATGATCTGGAATTTTACCAGCACCCCACTGAACGGTTTCTGAACAAAGCAAACAAAAACTCACTGGTTGAACAGCATAGACAGCATGAGCTCGTTCGTCTCCTCTGGGAGATTGGTGAGAAACAGGATATGGTTGGGAGGGTTTTCTGACACCTACAGACAAAGTGTTATTAATCAAAGAGTGATGCACTGAAATTTCAGCAAATGAAAATATACAGTCGAAACTGTTTTGGAGGGCTGAAATCAGTGACTATAATGGTGACTAGACTTGTGCCGGTATTCGGTAATGCGATATATCACGGTAATGAATATGCACGATATTGTTATCGTGGGCACTTCTAAATACTGTGAATAATTATATATAACAAATTATTCAGAATTTTGAATGCATTTTAACAATACTTTTCCCATAAACTGGTCAAAATGCACAACATCGCTGTATGCTGCGTGAAAGGCACATGCGCACTCTGATGTAAATAAGCGTGGACGAGAAGCACATGGCGGAACGTGAGAGACGCTCTGGATGAAAGCGCACTTTCACTCTCTGACAGCAGATGACGCTAAACTGCAGAAATAATCATAATAATAATAATAATACTAATTAATTTAAATGCAGCCGTTACCGTAAACAAAGCAGCTGCACTACTTCCTGTTTCTGAATCATGTTTAAATGATTTAAACAGCCATTCAGATTTGTGTATTTGCCATGATGTTCATCACAGCAAATGCACAACACTGCTGTATGCTGCGTGCGGACGAGAAGCACATGGCGGAACATGTGAGAGACGCTCTGGATGAAAGCGCACTTTCACTCTCTGACAGCAGATGACGCTAAACTGCAGAAATAATCATAATAATAATAATAATACTAATTAATTTAAATGCAGCCGTTACCGTAAACAAAGCAGCTGCACTACTTCCTGTTTCTGAATCATGTTTAAATGATTTAAACAGCCATTCAGATTTGTGTATTTGCTATGATGT